CACTTCAAAACAGCTATGCACAATTTGGTTGTACAAAAGATAGATTTTCCCCCCTTGTACTGTTCAAACAATAAATTGTCCATTTATCTTTTTGTTTTGTTTGTACAAATTACAAAGTTGCTAACACTAACTTCAAACTCTTGGTTGTTTTGTCTTGTTTTTCCTCTTTAAACAGTTTAACATAACTTCCATTGTTGATTGCACGATCAATAGAAATCATAGCAGGTAGCACAAAGACATGTCACTAAAAACCGACAGATTATGCGGACAGTTTAGTATGAAGGATGTCTTTCCTTTAAGCTATCACAGACAGCGCTCAGTGCTCATCTTGTATGGAAGCGGCAGTCAACGGATTTGCGAGTTGAAATTTGGGCAGGCTGTAATGCGGCTGATGTGTCACAATCCTGCATGTCGGATCAGTACGTGCATGGGTAAGTGCCACTGCATCAGTGGAGGCACATGTGAAACGGGTGTGCAGGCGTGTATTTCCAAACGCGCATGGATATGGAGAGAGATGCATACACAGAACCTGGGAGAGCATGTACGCATGCACACGTAGGCACACACACACAATGTACAGTATATTTGGGCACACACACACACGGAGAATGTACAGTATATCTGGGCACACGGAAGTGCCGCTTTTGAAGGCGTTCTGAAATCTGTTGTGGAATGTACATGAAGACTTATTCACAGACACGGGAGAGCATGCCATTCCCCTGGACTCAAAGACACCGGTGTGGACGAGCAAGAACACATCAGGTGGACACCACAAGAAATGACTGGAGCAATTCCACTGTCTCTCATGTGCGCTGTACTCCCAAGGCCCAGTGCAAATGTCTCACAGCCAGAGACATTAGCTATCATTAGCAAAACCCAACCCTCATCAAGGGCTGCAATACAGAACACCCCGCAAAGCTATGGGGCGAACTACTGACTTTGCATAAAGCCTTTTTATAAAGGATCAGTCCCTTGTGCTGGGAGGAGCACTGAGGACGAGACTGAGGGAGGATTAAAGTAGGGAGGGAGGGTCTCGCGCTGAAATCCCAAGGAATGCAATAGCTGCTTGCTTCGACTTTGTGCAACCACCCCCTCATCCTATAACATGGAAATACAGCGTCCTGCCACTACAGGGGACGCACGAGGAAAGGGACTGCAATATGCTTCAGTAACTTACTGTGGCACCTTTCTTTTCCATGTTGCCTGATCCCAGAGGAGACCCTCCGCTTGCTCACGCAGGACAGTCAACAATATTTTGATCTCCATGAATTCATGACACCAGGAGGCAAGCTGGCCTGAGGGCAGGAACTCAAATCAAATGCATGTAAGCACTCAGCGGGCACTCTGATCCCTCCCCCATACTGACAGGTTTAAGGGAAAACAGCCTGTTTTGGACAAGACCTAGCTCAGGTCCATCCCCACCTTACTGAGTCCATTTGGTGCCCTGTTGGCCAAATATCATGCGAATGAGACGGGATGTGACCCAAGGTCCGAGGAAGTCTGCGGAAGTGGAAGTTTCACCGCTAACTTTGCTAGGTTAGGATTGCTAAAATAAAGCATTGCATGGAGTTACCATGAGCTGCAGTTACCCAGAGCGCACGTGTTTCTACCCACCTGCCTCAAAGCAAGTAAACCCGGCTCTGCTAGGCTCCGTGGTGCTGTATGTTCCTCGCACAACGGGCGCGCGGTATCGTTGTAGGCATGTGCGGCTACTGGAGGTTTTTTCAGTTGTTTCTTGTAACGCAACAAGCTTTTGGTTTTGGCCTTTAGTGAAACATCTGGAGGCGGGTGGGTGGGGTGAGGCTGGAGTGCAGCACCCAGGGCACGACACCCAGGGCGGGTCCTGGGTAAGGGGCAATTTTTTGCTGTGAAAAACATTTGCTGCCTTCCAAAACACAACGGGACCAGACACCCGCTTTGGCCAGAACAATCAAACCAGACTGTCGCAGAACAAGGCTGAGATGGGGAGCACTGGAGACCCTACTGCCTTCCTCCAACTGTCCTGTGAAAGGCCACCTGTAGATGTGGGATGTGCCTGCTGGCTTTCAGGTGTGCCGCGGGACTGGGGGGGGAATTGAGGTTTTGATTTCTCCTCATTCTGCATGATCTGCTAGGCAGAGCAGTGGCAGTGTACATCACGAAACACGACTTTCTTTGAGCGCTGGGCCCTGTTTCGTGGAACCCGAGCAAGTCCCCAGCCCAGCTGCTTGCTATGGTTAAGAAAAGAGGCACTGTCACATACTTAGTGGTTTAATACAGACATCCCTTCTGACTGAACACAGATTTCTCATTTCAGTTTCCTGCAAGGACTGGGACGGGACTGAACGCTGTTCAGTTCCCAGTGGATGAAGCCCCTTTCCCAACTTTGATGGCAGAAACCCCTTCCCCAGCTGGCACATATTGAACTTCTCTGCACACCGAATGGCCTGAGGATGCCTCTTTCCCGTGGCGGGGACCTCCTCAGACCTGGGTAGCAGGGTCTACACACTGCTCCTCTTGTGCAGGTAAAATATTTCAGTCTCTAGCTGGGCCAGTTTGGCCTCAGCACTAATCAAACAAGGAAATTCTTATATCTGGAGGAGAACGGGACAGTAAGCTTGAATCTGAAAGGCTACTGGCAAATCCTTCCACCCCTCCGAGCAGTGGGCTAGCTTGCCCTAGGATATTTGGCCTCCATCCCTTGCAATGAGTGTGTACGCCTAACCATTTGTGGCTTCCCTTCCCCAGTATAAATGCAACATGTCCTGGACATCCATCCATAGAAGATGAGCACTGATTTACAAAACCCAAAAGAACAAGAACAGTTGCACAAATGCTCAAAGATTTTGTTTTTTTAAACATCCTCACCCAGGGTCTTTTTTTTTTTCTTTTTTGTTGCTGCTTGGCTTTCATTTGAAATAATCCCAGGGCTGTTCGTACGCGATGCAGTGAGCTTGCCTCCCAGCCCCGGCAAATGCATACAGGTTGGTGAAGCTGCAACGCGACTCATCACTTGGCATGCAGTAAATGCTGGGAAAAAGAAAGACCAACGACTAAAGACTTACCACGTACTTAAGGCTTTGAAAGAAAGGCTTACTCTGCTTCCAAAGGTCTTGGACTTCTGGTGCCATTTCACTTGTCAAATGGCCCAAAGTCAATGGTGGCCAGTGCCGAATAGGGAGGGGGCTGCACCTCCCTCCAAAATCTTCATTTCAAGGAGATGCAACGTAAGAACTCTTGCATGGACAAGCGGCTATGGTGGAGGTGGCCAAAGCTTGCTGCTGGGAATTGCCAACTGCACCAGAAGGGAGGATTTTCTAGGGCCTCCCTCCACATATGAGATATTTTCCCTTTCTCTTTTTAGCATAACAGGGCTGGACGCACAGGATCACAGTTACCCAGCTTGTCAAGAATAACTGGAAAGAGGTGATAAAGGCATTGCACATTCACATGGAACAAAATTAAGTTGCCTGTCCCCTCGGTCCCTGCCGTGTTGTCTTTTAACCCTCTGCTTGGCAAACGTTCCCTTCTTCTTGTTGACAGAAGAGCCCCCGAAATCGGGCCCAGACCTTCTACTTTGACGACTATGGGAATATCTACGTGGCATGTGCATCGTTCCTGGCAGCGCTGTCCTCAAGTGTCCCGAGCTGCTCTGCACAGGCTGCCTAGTCAAGTAGCCACCTTTGCAGGGAGCTAATTAAACACTTAGAGTGCCGATGTTAATCGGCCGGCCCCCAGGCTAATGAGCCTGCCCACGACTGTGGCTGCACCACTCAGTTTGAAAGAGCTAACTCAATGTGCTTGAGGATGCAGCTGTCAGAGATAGCAAGTTAGCCATGCCTAAAGTTTTTTCCCTTGGACATGGATAACTGCGCATAAGGCCTTGAAGAGTGTGTGTGGCAAGGGAGCAGGGCCAAAGGGAGGAAGCCACATGTTGGGTCTCACCATTTGCTTTCCATCGAGCAATCTTTTATCGGCATGTCTGCTGCGGGGGGGGAAGAGGAGGGCGGGTTCTTCCCGAAAAG